CAGTGGCCTCACGCCGAAAGCAATAGCAATAGCAGTTAGACTTATATACCGCTTCATAGGGCTTTCAGCCCTCTCTAAGCGGTTTACAGAGTCAGCATATTGCCCCCAACAACAATCCGGGTCCTCATTTTACCCACCTCAGAAGGATGGAAGGCTGAGTCAACCCTGATCCGGTGAGATTTGAACAGCCGAACTGCAGTCAGCTGAAGTAGCCTGCAGTGCTGCATTTAACCACTGGGCCACCTCGGCTCCACAACAATTCTTTTTTCTACCAACCAAGGGGAACTGCTTATTTATATCAACATTTTAAATGGTGGGGATATCCTGTTCAAATGGGAAATTCACACTGTCTTCCCCATGCATCTTCCTTTGGAGCTACAGCATGTCACATGTAGGTTTTGCTCCGAAGGCAAAAGATAAGTTTAGGATTAATGGCCTTTATGTTTTCAAGCGTAAAGGGGGAAATTTTTTTGTCTCTAAATGCTTGGTATATACCCTTATTAATTCATGAAAGCATTCATATAGCAGTCTCTCTTGAGAATGATTTTCACCTGCGGACCTGAAATATCTGGCTTAATTTTTGGATTCTGCTGTTTCCTCCACTTCCTCTATTTTTTGTAACCACTTCTCTGATAAAGCGTTCTGGGGAACACAAAAACTCATGTCTATTTCAATGATCTCAGAAAGGAAGACAGAGCTGAGCCTAGTTAGTATTTAAGAGAGTTCCAGGAATCCTCTGTAGACTAGAGGGTGAAAGCATTTTATCATTCTGTAGACTTGGAAAGATGGAAGCATACCTTGGAAAAAGTAAGAAAAAAACATTTCTATTTTGTTGTCAAGAAAGCCACATAGAGACATATTTCTTGAAATTATCAAGAGTTGATCATGACTTAAAGGAAACTTTACTTTGGGCTACCGTATCCGAGTTTCAAAAATCCAGATAACCTCTAGATCAGGGGTGTCAAACTGGCGGCCTGCAGGCCGGATGCATCATGGGCAAGCCACACCCACCCACACGAAGGGAAAAAACATTGCGATACACGACAGCAATGTGACGCTGCGAGTTTTACACCCGTGCTCCAGATGAAATGAAAGTGTTTTCATCTTGCTGTTATCTAGTGATCATTCAGATCTATGAATTCACTCCCTCCCCTCCCACTATCTTTAATAAAAATATTGCCCATTTGTTATTCATGTATTCATTTGTGGTACAGGAATAAAAATACTTGGGGCCATGAGAATCAATTCAATCAAAACCTCTTCTGAATTTATTCCTCCGTATGCTAAAAATGTCCTGCTCTGGGTAGGAACTTGTGCATTACCCCTGCACTTTATACCACCATCTGCTGCTCCATTGTCCCCAAATCTCACATCTTGAATGTTAACTGTGAAAAGAGTGCTGATGACATGCACAAATGCTTTTAAATCATTTTATATAACAGTCAGTCTGCATTAAGGAAAAAGAAGAATAAAAATAGGAGCACTCCCTGGGACTAGGAGAAAGTTTACTGTGCATTTGAAAGACATGACTTTCCCCTGATATGGGGGGCTATTGATAGAATTTACATTTTCATCTGGCTGCACAACAAGGCCCTTCAGCTGATAGTAACATTTACTGCATTTGATTTGAAAAATAAACCAAAATACAAGGCTACCGATTATGAATAGAAATTAAAATAAGAAGCAGGAAAATAAGATAGACATATTTAATGGACAGAAAGGGTTTTCCAGTTCAAACTTTAGGGATTACCAGATGCTTGTTGATTTCTAACCAAGTTTTCATCTTATCAGGTCAAATTTTATTTTACTAGGTCAGAGTTTATAATTACTATACCATGTTAAAGCGATTCTACTCATGAAACTTTGATCTACAAAAATACTCAATAGCTAGGTCCCTTTTTCTCTCTTCCAATAAAATGGCAAATCCTACTTCATTTTTCCTAATTCTGCCTTGTAAAGAATGAGTGGTTATACAGAAATATTTTGGTTGTCAGAACCCACCACTCTCTGTTGACTTTTACAGATTCAAATGTATATGCTAAATAAATGAGGTTGAGACCAATTAAATTAGAACCCAATTTCTTCTGGGGAGGCCCAGTTTTTAGAACATGTTTGTCAGTGTAGTTGCAACTTTCCTTTACCAACAGTATGGATTGATTAAAGGGAGAGAAGCACTATCGTGGAGCCATTATGAGGACAATAAATGTTCCATAGAGCAGGCAAGCGTAATTGGCAAAGGTAATTGGTAATTTCCAAAAGTAATTGGATGAACAAAGAACTTGCAGAGGGAAATGTTGATATATCAGAATGTAGAAATAGGGATAAAAGAACCTTTTGTGTTCGCCCTCTGGTGGCTTAGCCATACAATAATGCTGCATTTCCTAAATAATGAATGGGCAGTATGAGAAGCAAAATGGGAATTTCAACCCACTAATACCTGAAACATCCTATATTGCCCAGCTCCATCTTGTAGTCTTAGAGTTTGTTCTGTTTTACCATCGTGAAGTTAACTGGTTCCACAAGGAACCCCATGGTTACATCCTGTTTTCTGTCATCCAGGTTCATTGCTGTCTCTGTTCCGCTGAACTACAATCGACGACAGATTGACCTGCGTCAACTGATCCTCCTCTCCACCACTTGGATCTTCGCTTTTGCTGTGGCATCCCCAATTATCTTTGGCCTCAACAATGTTCCAAACCGGGACCCATCTTTCTGTCGTCTGGAGGATCACAATTATATTGTATATTCCTCCATCTGTTCCTTCTTCATTCCTTGTCCTGTCATGCTGGTTCTCTACTGTGGCATATTCCATGGACTTAGGCGCTGGGAAGAGGCTCGGAAAGCCAAGCTGAAGAGTAGCATTTATCTGGGCAATAGGCAGGTATACGGTCCACCACCTGTCATTGAGAAGAGCCAGGAGGATATCAAGGCAGAGGAACTCAACCCCTGTGCCTGCTCCGATTGCACTTTACCCAGGGATTACAAGAACAATGGCATTCAAACTATTTCCTATCCACACATCAAATATGCACCAAATGGAGAACTCAGTAGGAAGCCAGCCAAAATCAATGGCAGGGAAAGGAAAGCCATGAAGGTGCTTCCAGTTGTGGTTGGTGAGTATAAAACATTAAATGGTTTTCAGGGTTGTAAACCATCAGACAGTTTGATTTCAGATCCAGACAGCTGTAAAACCAGAGTATTAAAAAAAACAACCAGGATACAGCGATGCATAGAGACATTTGGCATTCTGATAAGTACAGCATGTTGCAGAAACTGGATTTTTTTTGTTCCTCATTTTGTGTCTCTTAATTGCACTTTAGTGGCTGACTAGAGGGATAATTCCAAAAGGACAAAGTGAGTGTTGCACATCTGATCATCCTCAGAAGACTTGAGTCCTCTGAAACTCCCTTCATAGTATACGTGTGTGTTTGTACTGTACGCACAGGCACACATTCCTCACCCCTACTGAGTGCCTGCTTTCCTACTAAAAGACCCTTTGCCTTTAACAGGCAGAATCTAAACAGTTAAATCCTGTTCCAGTCCCACAGTCCCACACTTAAGACGTTTATTGTATTTTTGCTACAGCTTCATAATGGTTGGGAGGGATTGAAAAGCAAAAATGCTACCAGGCAGATATTCTCTTTGTTTAATAGTAAGAAGTCCCACAAAATGGTGTTTTTTAGGAGACCTATAGAATGAGGTGAAAATGTTCTTCAAAATGGGAGTAAGAAGAATTGTTCAGCGGCTTGGTAGGGTGAGACTATTGACTACAATAATTTAATCCTACCAGGCTGCAAAATAATTCTTGAAACTACTTTATTATCATGGATTGAATTATGCATTCATGGAAATGGATCTTCTGGGATTTATTGTTAATGCACCAGAGCAACTGCAAAGGATAATACAGGAAATCCTCGACTTATGACCACAATTGATCCCAAAAATTTTATTGTTAAGCCAGACATTAGTTAAGCGAGTTTTGTCCCATTTTATGATCTTTCTTGGCCCAATTGTTAAATGAATCACTGAAGTTTATAAGTTTGTAACCCAGTTGTTAAATGAATCTGGTTTCCCCATTGACTTTGCTTGTCAGAAGTTCGCAAATGGTGATCACGTGATCTTGGGAACAGCAATGGTTATAAATATGAACCAGTTGCCAAGCATCTGAATTTTGATCGTGTGATCATGGGGATGCTGCAAAGATCATACCTGTGAAAAATGGTCATGTCAATTTTTTCTGTAACTTTTTAAAAAAAATATTTTTATTAAACAGTTTTTTTTTTAAAAAAAGACATTTTTTTGCAATTTCTTTTTGTACATTTCCACCTCAACATCCATTGTAAATGTAAATGTACTTTCAGTTTCTCTTTGTCTATATATATACTATTACATACATTCCTTAATTTTCCATTTATACATGTTTGTTCATCTCTACCTATACATTGTTAATTTCTAGCTCCTGTGTCTTCTTCATATCATCTTTCCTTAAGCTTTATACCTGTCCTCGAAGACATTTGTACCACTAGTTCCATACCATATAATATTCTGCCGTTGTAACTTTGAAGTTCTCTAAATGAACTGTTGTAAGTCAAAGACCACCTGTAGTAAACAAATATGAGGGAGTAAAAAAATGACAAGCAGATGGCATTTCAGATATTGCTCAGTCCTAGTTTTTGTGCAGTTGGTTGGCGATTGTGAGAACTGACCACTGGACTAGACAGGCCTGATCCAGTAGGTCATTGCTTATGTTCCTATGTATCAGAAGTTGAGAGGAGTTCTGACTGGAGATGAGTATTACATTCTTGAAACAGAAATGAAGCTATCTCATAAAAGGCAGTCTACCCTGGCAGTCAACATTTTGTGCCCTGATAGGGTAAAACCCAGGAGAGGCACTCAAGCCACAGATATTTTTCTTTAGGCACAAAAATACTCACCCATAGATGCTCAGACATCTCAATTCAGATAAGCAATTTTTCCCACCTATGGTAGATGCCCAGTTGGTCCGATTAGTTAATCAGTCCTTCCTTAATTTATTGCTGTTTTGAGGATAATCTGAAAACGCGGTAGGATTTTTTCACCAAGTAACTTTTTCAGACTTTCTAGTTGTACTTAACTCCAGGCATGATTCATGCCCTCTGGCATCTATCCAAATTTCCCCTGCAGGTTTTGGCACATTGTTCTCTGGAGGAAAAAAAAGAGAAATTGGGAATCTCAATCCTGTATAATATTCTGAATTGATTGTGTCCTTCAAGCTATGTAGGGATTTCAAGCTGCATTGAGGAGTAGCAGAACAACTGGACTTTTTATTTGCTAAGAATGGACAAAGGAGAAAATGATATAGAATAGAATAACAGAATTGGAAGGGATCTTGGAGGTCTTCTAATCCAACCCCCTGCCTAGGCAGGAAACCCTATACCATTTCAGACAAATGGCTCTCCAACATTTTCTTAAAGACTTCCAGTGTTGGGGCATTCACAACTTCTAGAGGCAAGCTGTTCCACTGATTAATTGATCTAACTGTCAGGAAATTTCTTCTCAGTTCTAAGTTGCTTCTCTCCTTGATTAGTTTATGCCCATTGCTTATTCAGGTGCCTTGGAGAATAGTTTGACTCCCTCTTCTTTGTGGCAACCCCTGAGGTATTGAAACACTGATCTCATGTCTCTCCTGGTCCTTCTTTTCATTAAACTAGACATATCCAGTTCCTGCAACCATTCTTCATATGTTTTAGCCTCCAGTCTCCTAATCATCTTTTTGCTCTTCTCTACACTCTTTCTAGAGTCTCCACATCTTTTTTTACATCGTGGCGACCAAAACTGAATGCAGTATTCGGAGTGTGGCCTTACCAGGGCATTAAAAAGTGATATTAACACTTCACATGATCATATGAACTTTAGATCCTTCTCTCTGTTTAAAATGAAAGTACAGAACAATGAGTCATGTTAATTTTCCCATTTATGTAGCTGACTTTATGCTGTGATACCTTATTCTCAACATGTTCCAAATTTCTGTAGAAGCAACATAGGCACCAGGAAACAGACTCCACTCATTTCAGTAAGATCTGCAACAACTTAAAATCTGCACGGTGAATTTTATTTTTCCTCTCCTTTTTCTTTAAATTGCTTGATTTGCCAAATCCTCCTTATATCAGACTCCCCCAGAGGAGCAGTCTGATCCAATGTTTGAACAAAAGTTCAGGATTCCCTTTTATATACAGTACAGGAGCACACAGAACACAGGTAATCCTCAATTTACAACAGTTCATTTAATGACTGTTCAAAGTTACAATGTCACTGAAAAAAGTGATTTATGACAATTTTTCACACAATCATTGCAGCATCCCCATAATCACATGATCAAAATTCAGATAGTTGGCAACTGATTCATATTTATGACGGTTGCAGTATCCCAAGGTCATGTGATCACCTTTTGCAGCCTTCTGACCAGCAAAGTCAGTGGGGAAACCGAATTCTTTTAACAACCGAGTTACTAACTTTAACAACTGCCGTGATTCACTTAACAACTGTGGCAAGAAAGGTTGTAAAATTGGACAAAGCTCAACAAATGTCTCAATTAGCAATGCTGGGCTCAATTGTGGTCTTAAGTTGAGAACTGCCTATATGTTGGACAACCAACAAAGAGTGACTAACCATTTTGACAAATAATTTCTAGTTTTCTTTCTTACTGCCATCCAGTAGTATTCTGGATTTATGCAGCCAAGATTTTGTCAGCCACATTTAGTTCAATGAAAGGGCAGAGCTGTGAATGGAAAAGGGCATCTGCTGCATATGAGAATGCCATTTTAATTTTGGAACTTTGGGAATGAAGCTTCTTAAAAGAATTTGCTTTCCTCAGTCGGAAAGCATGCTAGATTTTGCAGATCTGGAGATGTGATGCTGAAGGGGGAAGGGCCTATATAAGAAGCATTATGTGGAGATGCTTTTGCTCTTTTCTTCCGTGTTCTGCACTCAGGTCCATGAATAGAGCTGCCTCTGTAGTGGTTCGCTCGCTGCACAATCTTTCAATTGCAACAAAAGCCTGGATAAGCCATTTGTGGGTTGTGGATCAGCCTACCTTTGCACCTTAATGAAAATTAGATTAACCACTTTACAGCTGAATATTAGCAACATTAAAGGACTCTCGCTCTTTACAATCATTTCCACGCCAGAGCCTCCCTTTGGAAGAATCGCATTTGAAAAATGCTCTGCTGTCTTTCCTGCATATGTTTTTAGGGCTTGCAGAAATCCAGATGCAAAAGATATTCAGAATACACATGGGTGAATATAAGTGTGAATACAAGTGTTGAAGGTGGGGAAGTGGAACATACATTATAATGCAGAAACTATGGCATACATTGTATGTAGGAGCGGACCTACATACTAGTATGTAGGATTGTGTGTGTGTGTGTGTGTGTGTGTGTGTGTATTCAATATGTCTTAATCCCCAATAGTCTTTGTACGCATACTCAGGTTGCCAGTGTATACACGCATGTTGCATTCCTGGCAACCATATGACTGCAGGAAAAGATGTGTTTCATTAAAAAAAAACATTGAGAAGTGCAACAAATGTGACCATGCAAGCTGCAATTCACCTCTCTCCCCTTGACTCAATATTACAGCAAGATATTATGATTTCAGGTTTTTACTTTCCACATTGAGAACTGGGTCTACATCTTCCCTGAATGGGCAACACAATAATTCCCCACCCATCCAGCTACAGAGACAGATTAAAAAGAGAAATACCATGAAAACTAACATTCAATTTAAGGCCGAATCCATCATACATACACTCATTTATTCCTTTAAAAAAATGATTTTCACTGATTTTTTTTTAAAAAACCGTCCTCAAACAACCCAAGGATCACTGTGTCCTTTATCCAGCAAGAAAAGAGGATCCACATTTAATTAAACAAGGTAATTGAAGAGTAAAACAAATGAGTTTTAAGAAGTGCTCTGCTGAGCTCTGTATAAATTGAGGGATGTGCTTGCTACCGCAGATTTCAAAATGATTTGTGCTATTTCCTACAAAGTGCTGCCAATGCAAGAGCCTCCAGCTGCTTTGCAACACCCCGCCAGGGAGGAAAATCAATTTCCCAATGAGGCCAGGCTCTTCCTTTCTTACCTTCTTGGCATGCCCTGTAGCAGCTACAGGGAGACAACCAGGCAGTGTTTCTTGGATGCTCAAGAACTGAGATTTCCCTGAGATTTCACACAGCCTTAGGACTTCCACTGGGATTGCATGCATATTTGGTACACAACAGGAAAGTTATCTGCTGATATGGGGTATCCCTGGAGGCTTTAGGAAGACAGTACATTTCTTTAGAGATAAAATGCTCCCCTTCCCCCAAACTGCCCACTGAAGATGGAGCATGCGCCAAAAGTGAAGCAAAGATGGAACAGATGGTATGATAAAGGGCAAGCAAGCGTTATTGAGAGTGGAAGGGTCAGACCAGTGGTGGGTTCCTACCAGTTCAGCCAAACCAGTAGTGGTTTGGCGGCCTGGATCGCTGGAACTGGCAGTAACCCAGGCCTGCCATGCCACCATAGGTGCCGCCATCTTGTTTTTCAGTTCTGCATGTGTGTAGCACAATTTTAATTGTAATTGTGTGCACACGAGCGAACCAGCAGTAGTGCCTACCGGAACCCACCTCTGGGTCAGACCTAAAATTGACACATGGTGATTCTTCCAAGCTTTATTGTTTTCAGGCCTATAGACAAAATTTTGCCAGATTGATAAGGTGACCAGATGTCCTGCTTTTGGCGGGACAGTCCCACTTTTGGCAGGACGGTCCCGCTTTTGGCAGGACAGTCCCGCTTTTGAACAATTTGTCCCGCATCCTGCAGTGTTTTTAAAAAGTCCCGATATTTTTTTAAAAAATTAATCAAGAACCCCTCCCCCGGTCAATAGTGTTCCTCTTTACCAATGTTAAAATCTGGTCACCTACAGATTGAGGACTCTACTACTTGCACCTACAATATATGCTGTAAACTATTAGGGTGGTGCTGTCTTCACCTCTTTCATCCAGACTGAGTTGCCTCTTACTCCTCTGGAATGCCCTTCCTCTCTCCTGGGAATCCACCACCTTATCACATTTCAGCATAGGAAGAGGCTCCTAGATACCAGAGACCCATAAATACACTTTCTACCCAGACCTTTCCCAGCCAACACCCACCTTCTTAATTCACTTTAGCCACTCATCTACTGGGGAAGAGGTAACTTTATTCCCTCCTTATCGTGAGGTCTCACTGCTTCTCTTGTGTTTCTACTTAATGATATTGTGTTTAACCTGGCGCATTTGTTGGAATATGTCGACCCTTCTGGTTTTAACCCCTGAAGTCCTCTTCAAGATCAGCAAAATATAGTGAAACTAAGAGTGCTCTCTAGGTATATTCTGCATTTTGGGGCACCAGAAATAGTTTCTAGTAGCCCAAGATGTTTTTGCATTGCAGAAAAACCTGACCAACCACCTTGTGTGCCTAGTTTCAGCTTTTGCAGAAAGATCTGTTTTCTATGATTCCAGCGAGATAAAGGCAGATGCTACTGGAGCCTGCACAGACAGCGTTTATGTACCAGCTGCACTGTATCTCCCTGACCCCAGGATCCCTAAGGTCCTAGTGCACCAATTAATATGTTAATGGACATGCAATTATTCATTTTTTAAATAAATAAACAAATATGCATTCCCAAGAGTCCTTGAGTTTATATAGAAACTGATGTAGAAGGTGCCTGCTGTTGCTTCATTCAGCTAATGCATTTAAACTAGACACCAGATGCAGCAAGAACGGGGAAATTAAATATATTTCAGCATTCTTAAATGCAAAGAATTTAGGCGGATCAGAAATGGCAAACTTGCATTATTAAAAAGTAACCTCGGTGGATTTTTTTTCCTTCCTCATTTAAAAAACATGTATATGCCACTGTTCAAAATTGAAGTGTTTACTTTTGAGAAAATAAGACATACACAGGGAAGAACTGGCTCATTTTTTCCCCTCTCTCTTTTTCAAAGGTGCCTTCCTTTTCTGTTGGACTCCTTTCTTTGTGGTGCACATAACCAGAGCTCTCTGTGAGTCTTGTATCAGGTCTGGCCAAGTAATCAGCATTGTCACATGGCTGGGTTACGTCAATAGTGCCCTCAACCCTATCATCTACACAATCTTCAACACTGAATTTAGGAATTACTTCCGCAAAGTTTTGCACATCTTCTGCTAATCCTGCTGAATTCTTTGTCTACTTAGAACTGAATCCAGAAGAAAGGAGAGTACATTGCACAGGGCAAAGAGCCGGACCAATTATTGTCTTTGTATAGTTTAATAAAGCTTTATTTCTTATTACATAGTTGTGTGCTTCCATTTTTTTTTCACTTGATAAAGGTACTGCTTTCTGGACAGCAGTTCCTTCATATTTGGTGAGAATGCAAAAATGGCCTGAAGTCAATGCATTGTTTGTGAGACTTCATGATAATCTTCTAAATTGACAGAGCAAAGTATTCTGTTTGGAGTTTGCCATCTGTCCTCCATTCAGGCAGAACATTTATTCAGAAAAGCATTTGTGATGGTTGCCCCAAAATAATGACAGCATTTTTCCCCAAAGAAATGTAGATGTACCTTCTGAGTGATGCTGTAAGAATTTATACAGGTTTTGATGGCTCTGGTAGAATCTAGGGATTTTTTCCCCCTTCACTTGTAAAAATAATTAACCATCAGAAGATGTTTAATGCCTAGAATCTTTTGCAAAGGATCTGATGGGTTAGAAACTCAGAAAACAGAAGCAGGGCTGGAAAAACAACCATGCTTGTCAATAGTTATAATAGTTTGTGCATTTCTCTGGCTCAGAGGGAACTGCTCAGTGCCAAAGGCATGGACAACATGCATAATCAATTTGATCAAGCTCTATGAACCATGGGATCAGAAAACCATTATGATGAGGAGGATAATTTAGTCTGACTGTAGCATGGCAAATACATGTCTATGTTTGCTCAGCCTCTAATCCTGATCATACACAAGAATTAACAGTGATATTGTACTGAAAATGGTTGATCCAGGAGAGGAATTTAACTCCCCCTTTGAAAATTCCCCTGAAAAAGTTATATCAACACTTTGTTCATTGAATTTCATGATACACCAAATTCTTGTCCATCGGACAGATATTTGCTATTTTACTGAGCCCCCCCCCCTTTCAGGAAAGAGATTCAGGAAAGTTTTTTTTAAAAATCCTTTGGGTTTTTTGTTTGTTTGCCCAAACTCCCACTGTACAAATTTTAACCTTATGAAAATTCTGAAAACACCACAACATATTTAGGCAATATTGTGCATGTTTTAATAAGCAATCCCTCTTATGAAAATTTAATCTACGTATCTAGATATAAAAAAAGAGTATATGGGAATTAAGGACAAAAACCCCCCAAAGAATAAAAGCCCCAGTCCCACACACAACGTAAAATGAATCTAATTAAAGTAATGAATGTGGTACCTATTTGAGTAGAATCTTAGGTTTGAGAAGATATGCAGGATTCCTTTCACACAGGAATGATTTGAGAGAGAGCAGACTGGTCTCCTGTTTAAAAATTAATAGTATTCCCCTCTGTTTCTCTTCATTTTGAGAGCAACAGAACATAAACCTCTTAGGAGAGGTTGACCGGACTGCGGTTTAGCCAAATTGAGGTGTACCATCTCCATTGTTCAATATAGCTAGCAAATCAAAAGCATTAGCAAGTAGCTGAACTCACCTTGGTGTTCCTGCACTTAAATACTAAAGAAATTGAAGAAGCTACAGTGTGTAAAAGACCTTATAACTACCGTATGTTTATGGACGGAAAATAAAAGATAAACTAAGGTCTCTTATCTTCCCAACATGGGATGACTATACCAGATACTTTTGGGGACCTATTGAGATGTCGACATATGGGTTTGGTCACCCTCTAGTCAGATAGGGATCAGATGAGCAAGCATGATGGGGGTGCAATTCTTCTGCTGCCTCTACAGTGGCTTTTTTGCTGCTCTTGATTGATGAGGGCAAAGAAATATAAAGTCCTTTTTCCAAATTCCATTCACCTTCCCTTTACAATGTCTTGCCAAAAGCAGATTTAAAGAACAACTGAAATATATATATATATTGGTTACATTTACAAAATCCACAATGAATGCCCTTACGACAATTATCAACATTGCACTGAAACAAGTCTTTATCATGCCTCAGCTTGAATGTTTGCCTAGGTAGCCATTTAGAGGTATTGTATATAGCTGTGTTGTTGCTTAAATCTAATACAAGTACACATCATGATCGACTTATAAACACATTTCTGTGGCTGGCTAGAAAGAACTTCCCCAAAGCAGCATCAATATCTCTGAAGTTTTTTTCTTCTTCTTGGCTTAAAACCAGTACCTTTTTTTTGTATCTATTGTTATTTTAACACTCAGGAAGTGCTATTTTCAAAATTAGTCTTCTTGCTAGAATGTAAGATTCTCTCTCCTCAAGTGAGATGCTGAGGAAATACACAGTTGCACCTTTGCTTTTATTTTTGGCAGCACAAACAGAAAGCTGTAAAAGTGGTGCAAATGTTTAATGATTTGATCACTAAGTTCCAGAAAGATGCCTGAGATATTTTTTTCATCTATATACTCAGAAGTATGAAAATTATAAGAAAACAGCCATAAGTTCTTCCAACAGCAGAAAAGGTGCCTTGAAGGACCTATTTCCTCTTTGACTCCATGTCATCCAAATAAATCCCGGATGGGCCTCCTGGAACAAGATTTGAGACATAAGATGAAAAAGAAAAGAAAAAAGATCCGTATGATATTGGATGGAAATTACTGGCTTGATTCCATCAATTTACCATATCTAATGTTTTTAATTGCTTAAGCATCATTAAGTTAATGTCAGTTCTTAACAACCACATAGTTTCTCCAAGATTATTCCCAACTTGACTCTTCAGATCTGCCAACTGTGCCCCATCACCATTGTAATCAAATACATTCATCTTATTGGTCATCTTCGTCTTCTTTTCCTTTCTACCTATCCCAACATTAAAGACTTTTCAAGAGAGCTGGCTCTTCACGTTTCACATAATATGATAATTTGAGCCTGATCACATGTCCCTTGATTGGGAACTCTGGATTAATTTGTTCAGTGATCCATTTATTTGTTTTCTTGGATATCCAGTTTTCAAGTTTTCTATGTACAATACCACTGTTCAAAAGCTTCAATACTTTTTCTGTGCTGCTTCTAATTTACAATATACCAGTGTAATTTATCTAAGTATTGCAATCAGCTGTGACTTAATGACATGTCCTGAGTGGCATGTGACTGACAAATAAGTACAATTGTTATTGTTTCAGTCCCCAATAGGACAAATTCTACCATTTTACTGGAATAGCAGGCAATTCAGCAAAGTTAAAATGCTCTTTATGCTACTCTGTGTCATGGTAGATTGAGAAAGTCTATCAGAATAATAGGGTTCAGGAACGTGGACCATTAGTGTAATTATTTAATACAGAGTTCCCCAACCTTTTTGGCTTTGTGGACTGGTGGACGGGGAAGAGGGGATGGTTCCATGCCAGCAGTGAGCAAGTGCGTGCATGCGCAGCTCCATTTGCTCTATTGGAGGGCAAGCATGCCAGCCGTTCATGCAAATGGAGCACGCATGTATGTGCTTGCCTGCTGATCACAGATGTGGGGATGCATATGGGTGTTTGCCTGCCACTTCTACGGCCTGGTTTCAAACAACTCAAGGCCTGGAGATGGGCCACGGCCTGGGAGTTGGGGACCAGCAAGGTCCAGCATCTACCAGATCTGGTTTGATCTTGAAAAACAAAGCAGGATCACACTAATTCATTGGGAGACCATAACAAAATCTGAGAGAATGGGATTTAAAAAATACTGAAGGAAAACAGTTCTGTATGTTTACAAAGACGACCATATGGGTATGCCCATGTAGTTTTCAAATATTGAACTCAACAAGGGAGATTTCAGCTCTGAATTTTCCTGCAAAACTTTCAAATCTAACTACTGAATAATTATTCTCTCTAGGTATTCAAATGTTCCACATTTATTAGGGTAACGACTACCAAAGGTTCATGATACTTCCAGCACTGTGGGCACTATAAAGAATTTTTACCATATTGGAGAACTTTTACAGAGGACTCCTAAATAACACACACACAAATTCATTAATAGAATCAGATTCCATATGTATTGTAGGTAAGATTTAATAAACATCAGGAAACTAAATTGACTGAAAAGTAGAACTGCTTCACATTTGAACAAGAATCACAAAGACCTTTTGCTGTTATAATCTTTATTGAAACCTCATCAGAGGAATCTTAAATGGATGCAGACCCAGAAGCTGCTTTAAATAACATTTTCAAAATACTTCAAAGAATCCCCATAATCCATCAGAACAGCAGGAGGCAACAATTGAAGAAACCCATTTGTTTTACAACAGCTTTGTGGAAAAGCTTGTAAAGATCCATCAGCTTCCGAAGTTCCCTTAAAACAGTGGAGCTCCTTGATACTCTTGTCCCCTTAAGGTTTAATTTTTTGCTTGGTTAGAGAAAATTCATATGTTGGCCAGCAACGTGCAAGTAATACTATGCCTTCGCCCTCTCGGTGAAGGGTTTTATTTTGTTTATTACAGAACTTCACAGAAGAATTGCTGGTCCAGCCAGTCTGCTGCACCACACAATCCATGAAATTGGAAGAAAGGAGGTTTTAGACAATAACTTTTTCAATCGCATTATCTGTTTCATGATCTTCTTCTGTCTGAACAGTTACTGTGGCTGACTGCCCACACATATGCTGATGGTCTTTCCAATCCTGAAAATGAGCACAAAAAACCGACTGAATTGGAAGCAATTATTGAGTGAAGTAAAAGTACAGCAACATGCAGCAGGGGCCGGGAATGCTACCGTTACATAATGGTATGTGGGAATGACCTTGGGAGGCAGGGCAATATCATGCAGCCAAGGGAAGTGTCAGATAAAAGGCATCTTAGCCAGTAGCAGGAATATGGGTGGGACAAGAGATGCAGAAGAGACCCTCCCTAGTTTTGGGGGAGCTGTAAAGGGAGGGGGGAAGAGAAGTACTTTCAGACTTGCAATATTCTATTAATGTAACCTTTCAATAAGGTAGAATTAGCTCATATGGTCACATTTCTTGTCTGTAGGGCTGATATGGTGCAGTGGTTAGGGTGCAGTACTGCAGGCCATTTCAGT